CATTAGCAGACACTTGTGCTTTTATTTTTCTTGTTTTATCAAACAGTTCTGAAACTTTGAGAAAAAACTTGCATATATCTGTAGAATCCTGAGTTCCTAAAGCATGAAGAACCAATTCTATTGTAATCATCTGCAGCACTTTTGTGGGATCTTGTCATCCTATCAGATTTAGCAAATGCATCCTTACCTCGGTTATGATATTCTAGAAGGAATGTTTGTTCATGCTCAAAGAAATCGTCCACATCCTTTACTCCTGAAACAATTACTCCATCTGCTGATTTAACCATATTTTTAAAGAAACCTTCAAGTTTCTCTTTTTTATTTTTCCCTTGCATACTTAAATCTTGATTATATTCCAAGAAGACATGGAAATTTAAATCTTTCCTTAAAATAGGATGTGCTGCCACACAACACAGAAATACCTCATGCATTGCAACAGTCTTCTTGAATATTGCCAGATATCCAGCTTCCAGTTCCTGTTTCATCTTTGTGAATTCCTCCTTCGTCATGGACCCTTCTCCTTCTCCCAGCTTTTGTAGATTTTCCCTTGAAGCATCAAAATCAGGTCTTGGTGGTGCTGGTGGGATAGCGTAACCTGCATAGTCTTCATTTTCAACGAAGGAATCATGAAGCCAGATAAATTCCTCATGTTGTCAAACAACGGAAAACTCATTTTGTGTTAAATTTGGCAACGAACTCTTTGTGTGAACAGTGAATTTTACTTTCTCTTTCGCTAAGAGCATCAGAAATGTCCACCTGCAGAGCAGCATCACTTTGAAGATTTACATTTATTGCTTTAAGTCCGTGGTCCTCTTCTGAGAGGAAGTCGGGGCCGTCATCCAGGTCTTCCATCATGGCTACTCAGAGGCGAGGGCCTTTAAACTCTTTTTTTAACCCACTGAAACTTTCTTTGAACAAACTCTAACTCAGGGCTCATATATATAAATGAACTTACAGTGCAGTTGATTTGGCAGAAACAGGTGACCAGGGCCTAGAGCCCAGGGTTGGCTCCTCTGGAAACACAGCATGGACCTTACGTTACAGAAAAATACCTAGAAGCAGTGGGCATGGTGGGAGGCTGACAGTGGTGTCCTGATGAGGACTTCTCAGTCGGATGGGAGTTATGCTCCCTGCTCCGAGTCCTCTTGGTTGGTGGAGGGACAGAGGCTCAGAGCACTCCCAGGTTGGGGGTAGAGGGAGAAGCAACAGTATGTGCTTTGGGTGAGATAGGCCTGACCTCCCCTTCTTGGCCGTGAGACCTTGGCTGGGTTATGGAACCATCTTTTGAGTCTCAGGAGAGGAAGGACATGGACTTTCTGGATACGGCTGGGGCAAGGAAGGCATGTGTCCTGAGTCTGGCCACTGGAGAGGGTATTTCCAGAATGTCTTTCTTCATCCTTGCTGTCTGGGGAAGTACAAAAGACAGTTGGGCTGGGGCTGGTGGCTTGATCAGAATCTGGTGCCCAGCAGAGGCCTGGCACATTGTAGGCCTTCAATACATGCTTATGGAATGAATGCATATGTTTCTTTCTATCTACCAGGAAGTCAATGGAAGCGACTTCTGGGAGCTAGCGAGACTGTTCCAGGGGCTGGCCCTTTCCAGCAGGGCTCTGGGGGTGTCCGGACATCTGGAGCTCCAGTTCAGTGTGGGGTAGTGGAGAGAAGAGCACTGGACTAAGAGTCAGGGGCCCGGCTTTGGGCTCTAGTTGCCACGAACCTGCTGTGTGACCTTGAGGTTTGGCGTTCCTTCTGTGGGCTTTGGGCAGTTCTTTTCGGCAGTGGTCTGGATGAGGTTTTTCAAATTGCAGTTTACAACTCATTTGGTACATTTGAAAAAGCAATTTAGTGGGTCACAATCGGTATTAAAAAAGTAAGCAAAACACTGAAATAGAACAGAAAATATCAGAGTGCATCACAGGTCATAAGGGTAAGTATTGTTTTGTGAAACTATTGTTTTGTTTATATATAGATGAAGGTGTGGACTGGTCTGATGTAAAACTTACTTGTTACTGCGAGTCCTGGTGAAAAAACTGCAGAACATTCAACTCAGCAATTCTGGAGGTGTTCCTCCTCCCACATTCTAGGGGTCTTTGTGAGACAGCCACACCCCCAGGGAATCTTCTCTCCCTCCCCCTGCATCAGCAGCTGTCTCTCTGCTCTTAGCTGCCTCACCCCTCCCGGGTCTCTTCTTCCTTCTGCAGTCTTCCAGTCCCTCCTCCTCCCTTTCTCCCAGGGACAAGTCTCCCCCTTCCCAGGAAGTCGGGGTGGGGGGGCTCGGAAGGAAGTAAATGTGATTGAATGCGGGTGGCAGTGGACACTGTATGCCAGGAGTTTGAATAAAAGGACTAGGAAGCAAACACCCAAACACCCGGGAACAGAACAGAAAGTAGGCGAGCTGACTACGTGAGTTTGAGGGCAGGACTTCGTAAGCCAGACCTTGGCGGCGACAAAGCAGCAGGTCACTCCCAGAGGCCGGCACCAGCCTTGTCATTGTTGGCAAGGTGCGCTATTAACTAGCCAAGGTAGCTTTCGCCCCCGCGCCCCTCCTCCCTTTTTAAAAAGAAAGACGGAAAGAGCTAAGAGTTTTGGAGCCAACTCCTGGAGAGGGAGAGGCTGAACTGATTCGGAAGTTGGATCTCTTTGTACACAGGAATGCGGAGAGAAAAAACAAAACCCACCCCATTGCTTCATTTCCCCTCGAAGTCCGAGCACTTTCTATTGTGCAATGAAAAGGCTTTTCATGTTGAGAAAAATGAATCTCGATTTGTGCCGCGAAGGAATGAGTGCGCCTCTGGGCGCCGAGACCACGCGGTGGCCGGAGGGCGGCCGCGGCCAGGGCGCTACCGGGTCCTCCGCGCGCGGCTCACACCAGCGACCAGCGACCCGAGGAGTAGATGGTCCAGGGAACCCTGAGGGCGGCCAGTCCCCACTACGGCTGGGCCTCCCGGGGTGGCGGTGCCCGGGAACTGGAAATCCGTCCAGGGGAGCTTGCTGGAACCCAGGACTCCTCGGAGTTCCGTCCCGGAGGCCGGGCCGGGACACGCAGGGGGCGCAGGGCACGGGAGGCGGGCCAGTGCACGTGGGTGCCCGGGGCGGGCCGCGCAGGGTGCGGGGGGGGTGGGGGCGGCTGGGGTGTGGCTTCCCCGCCTCCCGGGCGGGATTTGCATGCGTGTGTGACGGCCCCAGACTTCCTGCTCCTTCTATGCTGCAGGTACGCGCGGGCCGGGTCGGCGGGCGGGCGGCGGGCGCGCCAAGACGTGGCCACCTCCTCACCGCCGGCTCCTGGCCACGCCGCGCCGCCTTCCGCTCCGGTGGCCGCTAGCCCGCCCCGGCCGCGCCGTGTGCCCTGCTTCGAGGTGAAGACGTGCCCCTCTTCGCCCTCTCGGTCATCTCCGTTCTCTGCACCGAGTCCGGCCGCGCACCCCTGGGTGCTTCCACCGCCCCGAGGGCCGCAGCCATGAGCGAGATGTCCAGCTTTCTTCACATCGGAGACATCGTCTCCCTGTACGCCGAGGGCTCCGTCAATGGCTTCATCAGCACTTTGGGGTGAGTGAACCGAGTTCGTGGGGGTGGGCTCACTGGGCCCTGGTGCTAGTTGCATGCATCCTGCCGCCCGCCCCCCGATAGAGGACCCGGACGTCCCCAGCTTCAAGGAGCGGGGGAACGACTCGCCTCCTGCTTTTAGAGAAAGGAAGTTAAATGTTTGCCCAGGTAGGAGTCGGTGCCCTGCAGAAGTTGGCAGGAGGCGCCCTCCTCTGCGAAGTCTCCACCCTGGTGCGCTCGCCTTCCTTCAGATAGGGCGGAGAGACTTCCTCTGCAGGTGGTCCCAGGGCGGGGGCAGGTGGGTGCCTGGGGCCTGAGTTGGGGAAAGGCATCCGGGCTGGACTTGACCAGCTCTGGGGATGGGGCGGAGCTGTGGGGTGGGTAGGCTCAGCCTGGAGCCTGGAATCCTCTAGTTAGGGACCTGTCGCACCTTTGAGAGGTTGCACGTTTTCCTCGTAGCTCTTCACTGCCCTGCCCCCTGTAGTAGGAGTGTCTCCTCTTCCAGGCATCCCAGGTCCTGGCCGGCTGCCCCCCTCCTCCCCGCCTCTCCCTGTCAATTTCCTGCGCAGCTCATCTGGCGCCCCTGGGTCCCTGGTCCCAGAATCTCTGGAGCACTTTACAAACATTAATTAATTCTGGCCGCCACCCCCCAAGGTCTGGGCTGGATAAACAGGGAATCAATTCAAGTTGCCTGGAGAGGGCCAGGCCAGAAGCAGAGATAGGGCAGGAGAGGAATTGGGCAAAGGGAATGGGTTCTCTTCAGAGGAGCAGTTGCTGCTGAGTCGCTGAGGCTGGGGTTGGGGTGGGGGTAGAGTGATTTCTCCACCTCTCCAGCCAGGCCCAAGGGCAGGGCCTGCTACCTTTATTCCATATTCAGCCTGGAGACTTGTGTTAAGTTGTCTCATCCTCCCAACCACCCACAGCTGCCCTTTAGGATAAACCCACTCTCCTCTGCTGACCCTACTCCTCTGGACACCAGTGAGCCACCAGGTGCCTCTGGGGGTTTTGGAAGACAGCCCCCAGCACCCTCAGCCCAAGACTGACTCTGTACCTGGCCTGTCTCACCCTGAGCTTGGAGGTGGGAGACACCTGGCTCCTTTGGTGTCTCCCAGGGTTGTTGGGGGTTTAGCTTTTGTCCCGTAGCAAAGGGAATCCTGCAGGACTATGGGGGTTGGAGGGCTGGCTTTGCTGGCAGGGGACTGTAGGAATTCCAGCAGACCCTGCTCTGCTTATCTTAGCACCCTCCAGGCCTCTCTCATTCCCCTCCCCCATTAAATCTGACTTCTCTTGCCCAGTTCCTCTAAAGATGGGGGAAGCACATGTGGGCATGCCCTCTGTCCTAGCAATGATCAGGGCCCTGGCTACCCCTCTGACCAGGCCTGCTTCTTGAGACAAGGGCCTGCACATAGTAGGCACACAGAAAACACCTCAAATAATGCTGAGGGAAGTAGGAGAGATTGTAGGGGCTGTGGGGGACATGGGGCGGATGGAGGAAGCCCCTGTCCTAGTGTCTGAACAGCACTGGAGGCTGTTGGGAAATGACATTTTTCTCTGTTGCTTTGTGCCTGGCTCAAGGCTGAGCACACAGTAGGTGGTTTTAAGCACCTGCGAGATCTAGCTGAATCATGGGAAATGTCTTTCTCTGCCCTCCCCAGAGGCCTCACCCCTCAACGATTCTCCCTGTTGCTTCCTAACATAACTCCCTCCTGCCTTGGCCCTTCCTGCCCCAGGAAATTGCTTCTTCCAATCCAGTTTGAGCTGAGGGCTGGACCCAGTGATCTCTGAGAGCCCCCTCTACTCCAGGGTGCTGGTACTCTGTGCAAACACCTCTTATAGCTCCTGACTTTCCACTGATGGATGCCCACCCTCTCAGCCTGGCATTCTAATACCAGCATGTGCTGGCCCCAATTTAATTTTCAGGCTTTTCCCACCTCCTCTCATACTCCTGCCCCTAGGTGCACCACACAGCTCCCAGTTCCTGGAACCTACCCCACACTCTCACAGTCTCTTTACCTTTGCTCCTGTGCTGCCTGCCCTTCAGCAGGTTTCTACCTAGGTAAATCTGACCCACCTTCTAAATCTAAGACCAAGTGCAAAATGGCATCTTTTGAGAGCCAACCCTCTCTTCAACCCAGCAGAATTAACCCTTTTCCCTCTGTGCTTTGCACTGCTTTGTACAAACTCCCCTCTGGTGTTAACTGTGTTGTTTTACAATTAGTTGGAGGTTTCTCTGTAGGGCTGGGCACATTGCCAGGATTAACTGATTAATTGCACCATTCATCCACTCCGCGTGTCCACAGGCACTGGGGACTAGGTGGTGAATAAGGGAGCTGTGTGTCCTAACTTCTCAGAACTTAGAGTCAGTGAAAGAATGTGGGCAAGCACTGTAAGGCATCGCTCCTCAGAGCCTAGTCCTCGGTCCAGCAACATCAGCATCACCTAGAAGCTTGTTAGAAAAACAGAATCTCACACTCCTGCCTGTCCTGCTGAATCAGAATGTGCACGCTGACCCCCAGGGGATTTGGTGCCTTAGAGGGTGAGATTCTCTAAGTGATTCTCTGCTCCATCCTTGCCAGGACCTCTCTGCCCCCACCTTCAACTCTGGCCCCCTTGGCCTCCACCTGGCTGTTGGTGCCCGTGTCTGTGAACCCTGGAGGCTGATTTGACTGAGTTCCCAGGCTAGCCCAATGCTTGGTGTCCAAGAGGTGCCCAGTAAGGGCTGGATGAAATGAATATGTTGGGGACTGAGGTGATCTTGGAGGGCAGAGGGGTTGGTTCAGCTGGGAGGTGGGAAGGTGGGGGGCAGTGGTGGAGGAGGGAGCCTAGGGTGGCCTTCGGATTCCGGCCAGGCTCTGCAGGGCCAAGTGGAGGAGGCCATTTAGAGCCTCCTGGATAATTAGAGCTCTGGATGAAGATTGTACATTAACTCCAGGTTGGAAGGACGGGAGGGGTCTGGGGAGTGGATGCTGGAGCAGCTCAAGACCTTGGCTGGAAAGGGAAAGCAGGCCCACGCCTGTTCTTGGCAGGAGAGCGTGGCCAGGGCCCCTGCCTCGTCCCTCACCCCGGGTGGGAGGTAGCAGAAGCCAGGGCTGGAGCAGCTGCTGGAGCCAGCGAAAGGTAGAGGCTTTACTGTGGCTCCAGGCCAGTGGCTGCAGGAACTAGCCCTGAGTGTGCAGTGTGGGCCCCTCCAAGCCTCACATCCAATCCCTTGAAGACCTCTTTGAGTGCCCCAGAAGGGTGGCCCCCAGACCCCAGGGGGTAAGGTGGGGAGTGCAGGTGAACTGCTCTTGAAGCGGAGCTCCCAACATTTGTCACGGTGCCTCTGTTCCCCCACACCTGGGCCTTGGAGCACCATTTGGCGGCTCTCAGGGCCTCTGGACTTGTATCACCCAGGGCTAGGTAATCACAGGGATCACATAAGGCCTCTCCTCCCTCTCCCGGGACTCCCTGTCCATCTTGCAGCCTTACCCACTTCCCCAGGAGGGTGGGCACTGGAGGTCAGGACCTAGAAAATGTGGAAGGCAGAGTTCTTTGGAAAGGACAGTAATGCTGGGAAGAATGGAAGGCAGCAGGAAACGAGAAAGACCACCTACAAAATGGATTGACCCCTTAAGAGCCATGGGTGTGAGTCTGCAGCAACTGAGGAGCTGTTGAGGACAGGACCGTGTGGACATCAGTCATTTGTAGGATTTCCAGGGGTCAGAGCTGACTCAATGGCACGTAACAACTCAATGGCTCTCCTGCTTTGTCACTAACTTGCTGGGTGATTTTGGTGAGGCCCTGCTTTCTCAGAGTATGTTTCCTTCAGACTGGATGTCCCCTAAGGTGCCCTGTTTGCACCTGAGAATCCCCTGGGGTATTTAAAAAAAATTCCAGCTCCCAAGTCCCATGTCAGACCAACTGTATCAACATTTCTAGGACTGGGGGCTGAGGGTTGGATTGTTTAAAATCTCTCCAGGTGATTTTAATGTGTGCCTGGGCTTGGGATCCCTGATCTGAGAGCCCCCTAGGCTGACAGCTGTGAGGAAGCCTACCTGTTGGGTTTGCCTGCCCTTTGATCCAGAGAGCCCATCTCTCAGCTTTCGTCAGGCTCCATTAAACCATTGAATTTATTGAGCACTTACTATGTGTCACTGTTCTAGTGACTAGGAAATCAGTAGTAACTGAGACAGAGTTTGAGCCTGTTCTAGTCTGCACAGTGGGGAGCTGGGAGAGATGGTCTGTCAGGGCCCTTTGAGCCTTAAGTCTCTGAGACACATGTAATTCCAGGAGGGGGCACACGTGCAGACCACATTCCCTCAGAGCAGATTTCACACCTGCCCTTGGCTTTCATTTAATTGTGATTTCACTGGAATGAAATGTTGGACTATCCCTGTCCTGTGCCCCACGGCAGGGTCTTGGCCTCCGCTGAGCCAATCCATGCAACTCATTTTTGGAAAATACATATATTTTTTTTCTGATTAAAATACAATATCTGCTTGATGGAGTAAACCTAGAAAATTCAAATAAAAATTATCTGCAATACCACTGTGAGCTTATATTCACATTCTATATGTGGACCTTCTAGCCCTTTTACCTACACAAATAAATGTTTACAGAATGATATCAAACTGCACAGAGGGCTTTGCATCTTGTTTTTTTTCTGGGGGGGGATACATTAAGCTGTATTTTCCCATGCCAACACATTGTGCATCCCCTTATGATGTACCTGAATTTATTTAAGTAACTCTAGTATTGGGCATTCAGGTTGTTTTTAAATGTTTGCCATTACAGACAATCGACGCTGAACTAGGATCCTAGTCCATGCATGCCCGAACACTTGTCCAGTTATCCTCTCAGGATAAATTCCCAGAAGTGGAATTCTGAGATCAAAGGGAAGGCACATCTTTTATCTCACAGGTTTTCTCTCATTTTGCTTGTTTCCCTGGCGGTGGAGGTGGTGGAAATGGGGAACCCTGTGCTCCATCCAGGGCGTATGGCCCAGTTTATGTGACAAGTTTGAG